AACAAAACTGGATGCAGTACTCTAGGCGTGGTCTTACTAAGGCTTTATAGAGGGGTATTAGTACCTCACTTGATCTCGATTGTATCCCTCGGTTAATACAATTTAGGATTGCATTGGCTTTTTTGGCTGCTGCTGCACTTGTGATGGCTAACCTTTTCAGCACCAAGTGCCCAAAGTGGACGCGTGCACCCCCAAAATGCAACGTGTGCGTGCCCCGTGCATGCACATGCGTGCACCCACACCCCTTGCATGTGTGTGTGACCCCCAGTGCATGCGCCCCACCCCCCACTGCATATGCATGGCAGAGACCTGAAGACCAGCTGGCTGGCAGGAAGCACGCATGCGCAGCTGAGCTGGAGCGACGGCTCAGGTGCCCAGAGAGAGGGCTCTGCGTGCCACCTCTGGCACGCATGCCATAGGTTCGCCATCACGGCCCTATAGAGTTCAAAGCCTTCCTCTTTGTGTATGAGCTTCACCGTATCATCTTCTCCATATTTGTTTGAGCTGGAGGCCTAAAGCAGAAAATCTATTTTGATAACATCCTGGCTTGCAACCCGGGGCCTAGATAAACCTGTATTCAAGAGATGATCGGACTGTACGGACACCACCCAGTCATCTTTAAACCTCCCTTCTTTGACCTGGGAGTTGAAGTTCACACATCTTCAAGCTGCTGAGGTTGAGAAGCACTGGCCTGAAGCAATGTTTACCTCAGGAACTCTGTGGGAAAATAAAAGGGCCGGTCAGCTTGTTCATGAAAGGCCAATCCAGGACAAGCATCATTCTGTTATTATGAGAGCTGTAAAGCATTATAAAGCAGTATATAAGTCTAAGAGCTATTGCTATTAGCTTGCATTTAGGAAGTTTGCTCCGTATGCAAATATCTGTAATGTTTGTCATAATCTTTGATGCCACTTGTCATAATCTCCTTGCGAAACTCACAGATGTTTCCAAATCTGAAGAGAAATACAGTTACAAATTGTCCTCAACTTACAACAGTTCATTTAGTGACTGTTTGAAGTTACAATGGCACCGAAAAAAGTGACTTGTGACCGTTGTTCATGGTGATGACCCTTGTAGCATCCCCGTGATTGTGTGATCAAAATTCAGCTGCATGGGGCAACTGGTTCATACTTAAGACCGTTTCTGTGTCTCAAGGTCATGTGATCCCCTTCGGACAAGCAACGTCAATGGGGAAGCCAGATTCATTTAATAACTGGGTCACTAACTTATCGACTGCAGTGATTCGCTTAACAACCATGGCAGGAAAGGTCATAAAATGGGTCAAAACTCACTTAATGACAAAAATGTCAGGCTCAATTGTGGTCGTAAGCCGAGAGCTATCTGTAGTTCTTGACTTCCAGATGCAACTGGGATTTGAATTTTCATTGCTAAGCAAAGTGTGTGTCACGCCTGATTTTTCTGACACTTTTTGCTACGGTTGTTAAACATTTTTTAAGTGAATCACGTAGTCATTAAGCAGATCCAACTTCTTCCATTGTCTTTGCTTGTCTGAAGGTGGCTGGGAAGGTCGCAACTCGTGACCACAGGTCTTTGGGGTGTTGTATACCAGTTGCCAAGCCCCCAAACCTGGACGGGGCTGCTACAATGGTCATAAGTGTGAGGACCAGTTGTAAATCACTTTTTTTCCAGTGGCATTATAAGTTCAAGCAGTTGCTAAACAGGTGGTTGTAAGTTGTACTCCAAAGGCCTCACTTCTAACCTTCAAATCTTCTACATATTGTGAAAGTTTGGTGTTTTTATGGAAGGCCCCAAAAGTCAAGATAGAAGAACAACTTTTTTTTTATTTTGGTGAAGTTTTAGAGAAAAATGTTGTGATGTGGATGCTATGTAGACTTGAATTATGTTGGGAGATGAAGGAGCTGTTGCCCCTTTTCTAAAACTTGATTATTTTCTGTTAAAATCTTTAAATTTAGTAGCTGGAGCAGTGGGCTTGTGTGGTGAGCCACAACACACAGTTGTGGTCAAGTTTGAAGAGCGCTGGCTTCTATGTGAGTCAGTCTGCTCTGATCGATTGCTATGGGTGTGGAGGGGGAGTTTACCCCTTTTTCCCCACCCCTTTCTTCTCTGTGGTTTGTATGCTCCCCGATTTACCTCACGATGTACTGATGTGCCTATCTTATTTACTGTAAATGTAGATGTTAATGGCATTTATATACTGCACGAGTCAAAAAGAGGGCTCAATTGGAAAAATGTTTCAATTGGAAAAATGTCACCATCCTAGACCAGGCCATGTCCAAAAATGCCAGGGGAATTTCTAGGAGCCTGACACTGACAAATCAGCCATCAATAGACACATACACATTAACAACATCTACAGACAATGCAAAAGAGACAACCAACCAACCCAAAAGAGAACAAAAAGACTCCAGCATTTCCCCACCAGCAATCCTCACCCAAATCAGTATAGATTAACTCCATGGTTATCTTCAGACCAACAACCAAGTAAACAATAGCCCAATCAAGAAATTGCCAAAGATCCATCAGTAAACAGCCCAACCGAAGAATCTATAAGACCACACAGAGAGGCAAGAAACCAGAATATAAACTGACATCAAACAGCACTCCTTACTACCGATAGCACTGATGTTGTTATCTAGTTAGGATAATAAAACATCTGCAAGAAAACAAGCTCAGAGAGCACCAAGGACCCCTTAAATATATTTATTTAACATCAGAGCCATGGTGGCACAGTGGTTAGAATGCAGTATTCAAATAGCTTACAGCCATTTGTGGTTGCTGCTAAGTATGCTGTCAAAATGTACATCAAAATGTCAAATGCAAGAGCCTCGGTGGCACAGTGGTTAGAATGCAGTATTGCAGGCTGACTCTGCCCACTGCCAGGAGTTTGATCCTGACCTGCTCCAAGTTGACTCAGCCTTCCATCCCTCCGAGGTCAGTAAAATGAGGACCCAGATTGTTGGGGCAAATATGCTGACTTTGTAAACCACTTACAGAGGGGCTGTGAAGCGCTGTGAGGTGGTATATAAGTCTATGTATTATTGCTATTAATATAAAACTACAAGTCTGTGTCAGCGTCTCTGACTCCATTTGGATACCGGCTACGCAATTCCCTGACAATTTTCACTCTGTCCTACAGGAGGGCTCATTTGTCGTGCTCTGCTCTCTACGATGCCCGACCACAATGTGGACACATTCATCTCTCTCTCCTCCCCACAAATGGGGCAATATGGAGGTAAGTGCTGCAGTGAAACAAGGACAAGGGACACTCTGGTGGCATTAGTGTGGCACTTTGGGACGCAGGTCTGGAGTGTCAGGGAAAAAGAAAACAAAAGCAGAGACTTACAACTCTTTTCAGTGCAGTAGAATACAAAGTGCAATTAGAAACGCAACTTTTTTGCTTTACATTTCTGATAGTTACTAGTCGTTTCTACAGCAAAAAAATAGAATATTTCATTTTCAGTCTCTTATCCCTTGCCCTGGAGTGGTGAGGTGGCCTAGAGGTGGAGCCCTTGCCTCACAATCAGGAGGTTGTGAGTTCAATCCTAGGTAGAGGCAGATATTTCTCTCTTTGGGCACACTGAGAATATATCTGCTGAACAAAACTCTGTATTGGTGACAGGAAGGGCATCCGGCCAGTAAACATTCAGCTCCATTCAGTTGCCCAGACTCCACCCTGCAAGGGATTATGGGGTCGTTAAAAAGAGATGATGATGATCTTACCCCTTAGTCCTGTCTGACCAATCCAGAAGTTTCATTTCTGCACCTCCATTTCTGCACTTGTTTCTATTATATTTAAACATAGGTTTGTATAGGTAATCCTCGACTTACGACCATAGTTGACCCCCAAATTTCTGTTGCGAAGTGAGACAGTTGTTAAGTGAGTTTTGCCCCATTTTATGACCTTTCTAGCCACAGTTGTTAAATGAATCGCTGCAGTTGTTAAGTTAGTAACATGGCTGTTAAGTGAATCAGGCTTCCCCATTGACTCCGCTTGTCAGAAGGTTGCAAAATCTGTTCACGTGACCCTGGGGCACTACAAGGGTTATAAATATGAGTCAGTTGCCAAAAATCTGAATTTTGATCACATGACCATGGGGATGCTGCACCGGTCACAAGTGCGAAAAATGGTCTCTAATTCACTTTTTTTCTGTGCCTTTGTAACTTTGGTCACTGAATGAACTGTTGTAAGTCGAGGATTACCTGCATTTACCTTTCTACATTTATTTATATTTGCATTGCTAAGATGGAAATCTCTGGAATTTTGACAGCCCCGCCTTCTAGATTTTCCAACTGGAGCTGCCTCCAAATAAGTGGATTTCAGCTCCCAAATAAGCTGGGATCAGTGGTGGGATTCAAATTTTTTTACTACCGGATCTGTGGGCGTGGCTTGGTGGGCATGGCTTGGCTTGACTTGGTGGGTGTGGTTTGGTGGGCATGGCAGGGGAAGGATACTGTAAAATCCCCATTCCCTCCCCACCCCACTAACCTGCTTTCCAGCTCCATTCTCCTGTGCAGGGCAACCAAAGAAGATCCAGGTGATCAGTTGGGACTTGGGAGGCAGAGAAGAGATGGGGGCGGGGCCAGTCAGAGATGGTATTGGCCGGTTCTCTGAACTATTCAAAATTTCCGCTACCGGTTCTCCAGAACTGGTCAGAACCTGCTGAATGCCACCTCAGGGCTGGGATGCATATAGCTATTTACTTTTAGTAAATTTAGTTAGTTGCCTTTTGTGCTTCATCCTTCCTAAAGCATACTGGGTCACCCTGTCTGGAAACATCAGATTGGGTTACGAAAGGATAGATAGGAGATCCTGAACTTAAAACAGTGGTGGGAAAACTGTTCATTGGCTTCCTCTACGTTTCTTTCTCAATTCAGACACCAAGTACTTGAAGTGGCTCTTTCCACACTACATGAAAAGCAATCTGTATCGCATCTGCTACACACAGCTGGGCCAAGATATCTCTATCTGTAACTACTGGAATGGTAAAATTCGGTCTGCTTTTTGACTTCAGCAGTTATTCTGCATTTCATGGGGGGCTTTGGAGGGTTTAAACCCATGATGGCGAACCTATGGCACGTGTGCCACAGGTGGCACCCAGAGCCATTTGTGCCGGCATGCGAGCCGCAGTCAAACTTACCTCACTGTGCATGCGTGCGCCTCACAGCTGATTTTTGGCTGGTTTGAGGCCTTTTTTGGCTTCATAGAGGCATGAGGAAAGATTCTGCAGGCCTTTCAGGCTAAATAATAGGCCGGTTTCATCACTTCCTGTATTTCCGGAAATACCGGAAGTGACGAAACGGGCCTATTATTCGACCTGAAAAGTCTGCAGAGGTTTCCTCAAGCCTCTGGAAGGCCAAAAAAGGCCTCAAACCGGCCGAAAATCAGTTGTGAGGCGCAGTGCAGGTAAGGGGGCGGCAGAGGCGGGGGATTGCGCGCACATGTGTGGGGGTGGGCGCATTGCCTTCTGGGTGCCGGCATGCAAGCGCGTGAGCGCAAGCGCGCACACAATTTTTGGCACAGGAGCCCAAAAAGGTTAGCCACCACTGGTTTAAATTGTTTTCACTTATGAACGAAGGCAATATGCGTGTCTCAGCATAATGTTGCAAGATCAAATCTGGGTCGGTCGCCAGGACTAGAAGTTTTTGTCTTCTGAGCTTTCAGACTCGTGCTGGAGCCCATCTTCATGGAACTTCTCTCTCTCCAAGAACGCTTTCACCTATATTGGTGAATTCATATATTGTGCGAGGCCATGGTTTGGTTTTAAATGTGGTTTGCTGAAGTTCCAGTAGCTCAGCTAATAACACTAAGTGATAACCACCATGACATTGTGGTTAATGCAATGGGTGAACTAATCTTTTGGCCTGGTTCTTGTCTTAAGCCAAGTTGGATGGCCAAATGTCATTGGGTTGAGTGAATACAATTCACTAAACCATAAGCTGTGGCTTTCAAATTATAGTCACTGAATTCACGCTATGGACTTAGCTAAAACTAAATAATGTCTTAACGGGATGTTTGATTTGGCATCTGCATCAACATAATTCCTTAATAAGCCAATGTTTATCCACATTTTCTGTTTCTAATGTGTGGGCTGTATGAGGCATTTACTTACCCAGCCAAAATAATAAAACAATAGTCTATGCCAAAAGTGTTAAATTAGCATTTTAATTGCTCATTTCCAGTATTAAAAATTGGTTCAGATCTACTTTTATATCTAAAATGTAGGAGGGCAGAGAAATTTAGGCACCTTGCCCTAAATCTCAAGGTTGATTTAGTGATTTAATTGATAGATACAGAAACAAAACAAGATCTTTATTGTTTATTATTACTCTCTTTATCGTTCTCTCTTCCCACCCCCCCACCCCCCATGTCTTTTCCATTTTCAGACCCACACCATCGAGATCTTTACCTCAACAATAGCAATTTCTTGGCCGTGTTGAATGACGAAAGATTTCACCCCAATGCAAGTGGTAAATATTTTTTGACATCCTTCACTTCCAGTAACAGAAGGGAGAGTGGTGAAATAGCAAACGTCGCATATATTCCTCCTTTGTGGTTAATTCAAAATGCAGGTAGTCCTCAACTTAGGACCACAGCTGAGCTCAACATTTCCAATGCTGAGCAAGGCAGTTAAGTGAATTTTGCCCCATTTTATGACCTTTTCTTGCCACACCTGTGAAGTGAATCACTGCAGTTGTATTATAGTTATTAACACGCTTGTGAAGTGAATCGGGGTTCCTCATTGACTTAGCTCATCAGAAGTTAGCAAAAATTGATCATGTGACCGTGGGTCATCGCAACGTTCATGAATACGAGTCAGCTTCCAAGCCTCTGAAGTTTGACCATGTGACCATGGGGATGCTGCAACAGTCATAAGTGTGAAAAACAGTCATAAGCCACTTTTTTCAGTGCTGTTGTAACTTTGAACATTCACTAAATGAATTGTTGTAAGTAGAAGACCACCAATATTATCTTAGTTGCCTTAATACTTGCACCAACCCAGAATTTGCTGCTAAACTATGAACTGGTGTTTGTTCTTGCCAGGGTAGAAAAATGCAGTTGAAGCCAAGGTCCAGTTTGGAATGCAAAAACATGGCACTTCAAAGGTTGTTAAACTACCACTCCCACAAGGCTTTGCTAGTATGACTAGTACAATGAAGGATGCTGGGAGTTTTAGTTCATCTATGTCTGGTAGGCTGCAGAATCTTCATTTCTGAATTGAAGCCAAACAAGGATGGATATAGATAGTTCTTGGCGTACAACTGGTCATTTAACAATCACTTGAGGTTACGACAGATTTTTTTTTTTAAGCTGGTCATGACCCATCCTTGAAGTTGTAACATCTGTCCCTTCCCTCCCTCCCATAGTTACATAATCACATTAGCTCTGAATCCCATTTATGATTGGTTGTAGCATCCCGTGGACACGTGGCTGCAATTTGGTACATTTTTAATTAGAATAGAATAGAATAAAGTTGGAAGGGACCTTGGAGGTCCTCTAGTCCAGTGGTGGCTAACCTTTTTGGGCTCCTGTGCCAAAAATTGTGCGTGCGCTCACATACCAGCACCCAGAAGGCAATGCGTGGCCCCCCACGGCCTCTGCACATGCGTGCACAATCCCCCCCAGCCACCTCCCTCCCCCTGACCTGCATTACGCCTCACAGCTGATTTTTGGCCTCCCAGAGGCTTGAAGGAAGCCTCTGCAGGCCAAATAGGCCCGTTTCATCACTTCTGGTATTACAGGAAGTGATGAAATGGGCCTATTCGGCCTGCAGAGGCTTTTTTCAAGCCTCTGGGAGGTCGAAAAAGGCCTCAAACCAGCTGAAAATCAGCTGTGAAGCACACGCATGCACAGTGAGGTAAGTTGGCCTGCGGTTCGTGTGCCAGCACAAATGGCTCTGCAATGCACCTGTGGCACACGTGCTATAGGTTCGCCATCGCGGTTCTAGTCCAACCGCCTGCTTAGGCAGGAAACCCTACACCACTGATTTAATCCAACTGAGGTACCACCCATCTCACTTTCAGAGTGACTCTTTTCTGGCAAAAACAAGAAGAAATAGATTTGCTTAACAACCATGATTCACTTTACAACTGTTTGACTCACTTTGCAACCATCGTAAGTATTATCATGAAAATCCAATCATGTGGTATCTCAATTTATGGGGGGAAAAACCCCACGATTTATGACTGAAATTCCAGACTCTGTTGTTGTCAAAGACTAGCTAGGCAGCTATCAGCCCAGGATGCTTTAGTTCAATTCCTGCACCAAGAAGAGTTGGATTCAGTGCCCAAAATAGCTGTTTCCAACTCTATGATTCTCTGTTCAAACCCCCAGAGCAAACCAAATCTCCAATGTATTCTTGCCAAATGGGATTGTTTTTGGGAGCCTGTCCAATCTACCTTACTGCCTCTGTACCTCCAGCAGTAGTTTAGAAACGAGACTACACATGACTTTATTTGCAAGCAAAACATTTCCTAATATGGAGAATACAAGTTGACTGGAAAAATCATAGCTCAATTTCCCCCCCCCCCAACCTTTCACAAAGGTCTGGCCAAGCTAGATTAGCTGGGAGCTTTAAAATTCAAGCTTGTCAAATTTCCTGCCCTTTCAGGCTTTGGGATAACAGTGGAATGCCATTCAAAATCTTTGCTTCGGAGATAGCTATTATGGCATGGACTAACTTTATTTTTCTGCATCATTTCTTGCAAACTGCCTAAGCCAGCATTTTCTAATCTTGGCAATGTATGAACTTCGACTCCCAGAATTCCCCAGCCAGAAATTCCACTCCCAGAATTGCTCAGTACCTGGGGAATTTTAGGAGTTCAAAGTCCACATCTCTTAAAGTTGAACCAGGTCAGGAAACAGTAGTCTAACCTAGGCATTAATTCATAAAAACAATTGACAGATCACAAATCTTAAAGTAAAAGAGGAACAAAGCCAGAAGGGAAAAAATAGGATTAATTAAAGGCATCAGATATGACAACTTTACTAGAAATTTCCTGAAGGTTGAATGGTTTGTTTAATTTGTCCACAGGTAGAGCAGGAAAATCTATTTTTGGCCTGGAACGTCCTCTCTACCTGGGGCCAGGTGAGGGTGGGGCCAGTGAAATGATGATGTCACTGGAATAGGTGAAGCTGAAATACCCAGGCTCATTTTTAGTCATTTTAAAGAGAAAATAGATTCCACTTAAATCTCCCTCAAACATATAGGTAGCCCTTGACTTATGACCACAACTGAGCCCAAAATTTCTGTTGCTAAGTGAGACCTTTATGAAATGAATTTTGGCCCACTTTATGACTTTTCTTGACACAGTTGTTAATTGAGCCGCAGCAGTTATTAAGTCAGTAATAAGGTTGTTAGGTGAATCATGGCTTTAACAATTCACTTTACTCATCAAAAGGTTGCAAAAAGTGATCCCATGACCCTGAGATACTGCAGTTGTCAGAAATACAAACCAATTGTCAAGCAGCCAAATTTTTTATCACCTGACCACCGGGGGATGCTGCGAAAGTGGTGTGAAAAACGATCCTAAGTCACTTTTTTCAGTGCCTTTGTAATTTCTGACGGTCACTAAATGAATGGTTGTAAATTGAGGACTACCTGTATTTTTTTGTCTGCTTTTTAAGAGGTATAATGTCTTTTATAGGAGTGGTACGGTGGCCTAGAGGTGGAGGCTGTGAGTTCAATCCGAGCTAGAGGCAGATATTTCTCTCTCTGGATACATTGAGAATATAGCTGCCGAACAAAACTCCACATTGGTGACAGGAAGGGCATCCGGCCATTAAATTAAATATGCTAGCTCCATTCAGTTTCCCAGACTCCACCCCACAAGGGATTATGGGGGTCATTAAATGTAGAGGATTACATCTTTTATAGGTGTCCTCAAATCTCAGTGAAACGGAAGGCATGTTTTTTTGTCCCCCATTTCAGTCCTCTCCTTTCTGTGGGCTGCAAACAACTCACAACTTCCCCACTTAATGGCTTAAAATACTCCTCTCCTAATCTCAGAATTTCCAGAAATGTGAGGACCATAACTCCCAGAATCCTTTGGGAAAGGGCAATCGCAACAAGACATGGAGAACGTCAAATAGGGAAAGATGAAATAAGTAGAACTAGTTTTATTGCTTATGGCTTTTATAAAAATAGTAGGAAAAGTTGCAAAGTTTCTGTCTACGGAGATTCTCAGTCATCCAGGTCATGGTTGTCCCAAAGATGCTTTTTTTCAAGAGTCAGCTGGACTTTCTGGTTTTTCTTTGGAGACGTTTCGCTTCTCATCCAAGAAGCTTCTTCCTCAAGAGCTGAAGAAGCTTCTTGGATGAGAAGCGAAACGTCTTCAAAGAAAAACCAAAAAGTCCAGCTGATTCTTGAAAAAAAAGCACCTTTGGGGTTCCAGATTTTCTGTAAACTTCGTATTAGAAGGGCACGGGGAAAATTCTCTTTCGTTTACTGCTGAGGGGGGGCAAGAAGGAGGAAAGGAGAGAGAAGGGAAAGGGGAGAAACTGGGAAAGCAACCACGTTTCTGAAATTCTGCTCCTCTCGCAGCGTGGAAGAGAAACCTTTTGCGCATTCGCAAGCTGATTCTGATCGGCGGCCCAGATGACGGGGTCGTCATGCCCTGGGAATCCAGGTGAGCTTTCGGACGTGGCAAGAAAGAGATTTGGGTTCTGGAGTGAGAGAAGCCAAGTGCTGATCGCCACTTAAAGGTTTCAGCAAGGGGAAACTGTTTAGCACCACTTGAAACCAGTGGTGGGCTGCAAAAATTTTTAACAACCGGTTCTCTGGCTGGGTAGGTATGGCCGGCTGGTCATGTGACTGGGTGGGGGGCTGTCACTCATCACATCCAGCCCCGCCTTTCAGGCACTCGCCTCAAAGACAGATGTAGGATTCAGGCAGTTGGGCTAATCCCACCACTGGCTGGCCCCACCCCGCCCGTTTTTCGGCCTGTTTTGGGGCCATTTTCAGGCTGTTTCTTGGGCTGTTTTTCAAGCCATTTTTGGCCTAGAAAATGGCCCCCAAACCAGGCTATTTTGGGCAGTTTTCAGGCCGGCTTTCAGACTGTTTTGGGCCATTTTTCAAGCCATTTTGGCCTGGAAAACTGCCTGAAAACGGCCCCAAAATCAGGCTGTTTTGGGGCTTGGGGGGGCTGTTTTCAGGCCATTTTCCAGGTTGTTTTGGGCCCAAAAAACAGCCTGAAAATGGTCTAAAAACAGCCTGAAAATGGCCCAAAAACCCAGACAAAAAAAATGGTCAGGGGCAGGGCCAGCCAGTGGTGGGATTTGCCAGTTCTCTGAACTGCGCCTAATCTTAACTACCGGTTTCCCAGAACCGGTGTGAACTAGCAGCAGCTCTGTTTGAATATTGGGAATATTGGAATTGGTACAGACTTGAACTGCTTAACTTGTTTCCTTCATGACCCGATGGGAGGCAGAGAGCGAGCCCCCAGTGTTGCTCTCCAGCCACTGGGATGGGGTAAGGGACAAACACATATCCTGCACCCTTCCTGCCACTTCCGTTTTGATTTTCTGCAGCCATCTGCAGAGCCATTCTGGAGTGGTACGGTGGCCTAAAGGTGGATCTTTCTCTCTCTCGCCCTCACGATCAAGAGGCTTGTGAGTTCGATCCTAGGTAGATAGGCAGATATTTCTCTCTCCGGGCACACTGAGAATATATCTGCTGAACAAAACTCCGCATTGGCGACAGGAAGGGCATCCGGCCAGTAGAACATTCTGCTAGCTCCATTCAGTTGCCCAGACTCCACCCCACAAGGGATTATGGGGGTCGTTAAATGATGATGATGATGGTGGTCTGCAGAGCCTTTCTCCTACTTATACTGGTAGTCCTTAACTTTCCATGTATGAGTGCAGAGAAGAGCAATAAAGATGATTAGGGGCCTGGAGGTTAAAATATATGAAGATTGGTTGCAGGAATTGTGTATGTCTAGTCAAGAGAAAAGAGGGATTAGGGACGTGGTGGCTAACCTATTTGGTGCCGAAAATTGTGTGCCCAGAAAATTGTCCAGAAGGCAATACGTGCCCTCCTACATGCCCCTTACGCATGCACATGCAATTCACCCCCACCCCCACTGCCCCCTTACCTCACAGCTGATTTTCGGCCAGTTTGAGGCCTTTTTCGGCCTCCCAAAGGCTTGAGGAAGGCTTCTGCAGGCTTCTGCAAGCTTTGCAGGCCAAAAACTAATCCCGTTTCATCACTTCCTGTTTTTTCCAAAAATACCAGAAGTGATGAAACGGGGCTAGTTTTCAGCCTGCGAAGCCTGCAGAAGCTTTCTTCAAGCCTTTGGGAGGCCGAAAAAGGCCTCAAACTGGCCTGAGATGAAAGGGCCAGGCAGGGCGGGGGAGTGTAGAAATAGCTGGGATGTTGTAGTCTAAATTAGGGGTCCCCAACCACCGGTCCGTGGACCGGTACCGGTCCGTGGAACAAATCCTACCGGGCCGCTGGTTTGCTGGGCGCCGCCATCTTGTTTTGATGAAAAAGTGCTTCCGGTGGGCTTTTCCGGGTAGAAAGCTCACCAGAAGCACTTCTTCATCAAAACAAGATGGCGGCGTCCAGCTGATGCCGGTACCGGGCCGCGGCGCCCAGCTGATTCCGGTACCGGGCCGCGGCATAAAAAAGGTTGGGGACCACTGGTCTAAATAAAATTATTTCCCCTGGGAATCAAGGACGTTGGTGCAGGTGTTCGAAAGGTGGAGACTGAGGTCACCTAGCAACTGGGCTATATGCTGATTGGACCATGTGACTGATGAAGCTTTACTTTTAATTGGGTGTAAAACTGGCAGGAACTTAGAGCTGGTTTTTCACCAAGACCGTGCCAATTGGATAAGTCCCAATAAAATGTTCTTTGAGGAATTTGCCTGCCTCAGAGTTCTTATTGAATTATTACTTATTACCCTGACATCTGGCTTCTCCCACTGACTTGTTTGTCAGAAGCGATCTGGGAAAGTCATTAATAGCACTCATATGACCACAGGACTCCCTGCAACCATCGTAAATACACGCTGGTGGCTAAACATCTGAATTTTGATCCCCTGACCGTGGGGATGCTTCAGAGGGCTGGTTCTAAGTCGCTTTTCTCAGTGCTATTGTAACTTCCGAACAGTCACTAAATGAATACCTGGAAGTCAAGGACTACCTGTATAGTCTTTGCTTCAGTTTCCCTCTTCAATATCACGATTGTGCCTTATCGTCATCACTTCCACATGCAAGCGTTTAATTTTTTTTTCTTTCCAGCATTCCCTTGCCGAGTTTTATCCCAAATCATTTCCTCTTGAAATTCATTCACTTTTCCTTCGGAGGGAGTTTTTCACTCGTCTTCAGCCACTCCCAAAACAACTTTTTTATTTCGGATTCCCTGCATTTACCTTTTATTTCTTCACCTTAACCATCCTTTGTCCCAGTGGTAGTATGCTACCGGCTTGGACCGGTTCACCTGAACCGATAGTAAAAAAAAACAAAAAAAAAGCCTCCCACGATCAGCTGAGAGGAGGGGAAAAACCGCCTCAGACATCAGCTGAGGAGAAAGAAGAGAAAAGGGCAGCATTGGCCCTCCGATCTTTCCCTGTGCTTTTCTTTATCCTCTTAGCTGATTGGCGCTGCAGGCCTCAGCTGGTGTGGGGAAAGCACACAGCTGGTGTGAGGAAAGCGCACGATCGCCGAACCAGTAGTGGAACAGTTAGGATCCCACTGCTGCTTTATTCTCTTTAACTTTATTTTTTTCACTCTGTACATATACACCATCGGTACCTCTTGTAAGTGGGTGAATTTTATAATGGTCTTTGATCAGCGTAGGTACCCATACGCATATCAACATACATACATTCTACATCAGTCATAAAAATAGTGACGAAAAAGGAATTGAAATATTTAAAAAGAAAAAAAGTGTTGGGGTAACTTCCAGATTTATTATTAGATACACTATAAATCTACATGGATTGTTCGGTTTTGTTTCTTTTACAGTATGTTTGCCTTCTATGACGATAACGAGACGGTGAAGGAGATGACATCTCAGCCGGTGAGTTGAGCCTGAGACGTTTCCTCAAGTTACATTTCTGCTTTGGGCTCTGATTTCTCTTATCTGACTAGTTGCCTTAGCTGTGAGTCTTCCTCAGGGTTATTTTTTACAATCCGTTACGTTATGGAAATGCAAACTGCAGACCTCCTGAGGCAGGATTCGCGATGACTTTTTATTTGTTTATCTAATTTACATAACCGCCCATCTCGTGAGCAAGTGACTCTGGGTTATCTACAACAAAAGTAAAACAAAATTTACGTTTCTTTGTATTTCGGAGTGAAATAAATATGCTGGGTCTGTAGCAAGATTAACACAGTTCACATAGAGGCCTTCCCCATAACGGTCCTATGAGATTGGGTGGGTGGAGAACTGAAGATTGTCCCACGATCATCCGCTGTGTTCCGTAATGAAGGGAAACTCAGATTTTAAATATCTGGGATGCCAGTCCTGTGCCTTAACTACTACCCCAAATACATTGTATTAAGTTCATTTCAGCTCTACGTGGTCTAGGACAGTGGTGGCTAACCTTTTGGGGCTCCTGTGCCAAAAATTGTGCACACGCTTGTGTGCCAGCAGCCAGAAGGCAATGCGCGCACCCCGCCCCTTACGCATGTCCACACAATTCACCCACCCACTCACCCCCCCGCCACCCCCTTACCCGCACTGTGCCTCACAGCTGATTTTTGGCTGGTTTGAGGCCTTTTTCAGCCTCCCAAAGGCTTGAGGAAGGCTTTTGCAGGCTTCTGCAAGCTTTGCAGGCCAAAACTAGCCCCGTTTCTTCACTTTCTGTTTTTTCCCAAAAATACCGGAAGTGACGAAAGGGGGCTAGTTTTCAGCCTGCAAAGCCTGCAGAAGCCTTCTTCAAGCCTTTGGGAGGCCAAAAAAGGCCTCAAACTGGCCGAAAATCAGCTATGAGGCGCGCACATGCACAGTGAGGTAAGTTTGCCTGCAGCTTGCATGCCGGCACAAATGGTTCTGCATGCCACCTGTGGTACGCATGCCATAGGTTCACCATCATGGGACTAGGACAGTGATGGCGAACCTTTTTGTTGTGTGTTGGAAGTGCGCGCGTGCCGGCACCCACAATGCAATGCGCTCCACCACCCCCTGCGTGTGCACCTGCAACACCCCCACCCTGCCCCCTTACCTGCACTGTGCATGTGTGCACCTCCCAGCTGATTTTCGGCCCACTTGAGGCCATTTTCGCCCTCCTGGACGCTTGAGGGAAGCCTCTGAAGCCTTGGGAGGCTGAAAACGGGCCCATTTTGGCACTTCCGGAAGGCCTGTTTTTCGGCCTCCTGAGGCTCCAGAGGTTTCCCTCGAGCTTCCGGGAGGGCGAAAACGGCCTCAAACAGGCAGAAAATCAGCTGGGAGGTGCACACATGCACAGTGCGGGTAACTTTGGCTGGGGTTCACGTGCCCACACAAATGGTTCTGTGTGCCACCTGTGCCATAAAAATTCTCCCTCACGGGTCTAGGACAAGGTGTCGAAGGCCGCATCAGGATTGTGTTTGACCTCGGGGAGGGGGGCATGGCAAACTCAACGTCACTCATGCTGGGGGCACCTGTGGTGGCCCGAATGCTCTGCCAGTGGAAACGGAGCTCGGAAGGGCCGCAATCTCCATTTTTGCTGGCAGAGGCACCAGGGCCGGCCCTTTGCTGTTTCCAGGGCACCCCGTGGGTCAGATCTAAGCACCCCGTGGGCTGCATCTGGCCTGCAGGCCTTGAGTTTGACTCCCCTGGTCTAGGAGTCTTCGGTTTTGAAAGACTTGAGGGAAACTAGAAGAATTTGCTACATGTAGGAAACAACAGAACAAAACAAAAACAATCCACTAGATGTGGGGTGGCTTTGGAATCCGAAATTAAATTTCATTGAAATGACTCTTTGTGATTGATAAATATTATACAGGTAGCCTTCGATCTAAGATCAAGATTGAGCCCCAATTTTTTTTGTTGCCAAGTGACAAAATGGTTAAGTAAGCTTTGCTCCATTTTACGACTTTTCTTGCCACAGTTGTTTAGTGAATCCCTCCAGTTAGTGACGTGGTGGTTAAGTGAATGAGGCTTTCCCATTGACTTCGCTTGTCAGAAGGTTGCAAAAGGGGAGCACATCCCGCCTGGACATTGCAACCGTCATGAGTCAGTTGCCAAGCACCTGAATTTTGATCATGTGGCCATGGGGGAATGCTGCAATGGTCGTGTGAAAAGTCGCTTTTTTTTCAGGGCCACTGAAACCAAATAGTCACTAAACGAACTGTTGTAAGCCGAGGACAACCTATCCTGTATATCTGACTTACCTTTATTCTCCAAGAAACTCTGGAGCTTTTCTTATGGCTTGAATGCTAGGCTTTTGCTGATTGAAATATCGCAGGGTTCATTGGACGGTGGATGCATGGGCCGTGGTGGTGCAGTGGTTAGAGTGCAGTACTGCAGGCTACTTCTGCTGACTGACTGCAATTTGGCAGTTCGAATCTCGCTGTTGGGCTCCATATTCAACTATGCCCGCCAGCAGTAAAAGAGGCTAACTTTGGATCCCTCCAACAAGCGACACCAGTCCCATTCAGCAGGAAGTTGATGGTTGAATGGGGATTCCCTATGACACTGCCTCGCACTGCTACCTGGGAGTTGGAGGCTGAATGGGAATTCCCACATGACATGGCTGCAGCACTCCGATTCATGATACTTTAGTGAGGGGGGAGGATTCATACAGCAGGTGTTACGGGGTGTTCATAGAAGTAGAGGGGATCGGTGGTAGGTAGGATGCAGAGCGTTCTAGGTTATGATGCAGGACTACAGCCTAATCACCTAATTAGCCATATTAGGAAACGTTGGATCCATGGGTGATTAGAATAGGCCGCTCCGCAGGAGGTAGCTGTGATTAAAGGGGTGGGGTAATGCTATAAAGAGCACCGGAAGGCAAATGCTCCCAGCGCTAATCTAGATTGGAATTCAAGCAGTTATCGCTGGATGGGATGTGCATTATGTGTACCAATAAAAGATGGTGTACCTCAATGTTTGTTGGTTTGTATCTCGGGAATATGAACATCCGGAAGACCGGCTGACACTCGCCAGGCTCAAGGTTGACTCAGCCTTCCATCCTTCCGAGGTCGGTAAAATGAGGACCCAGATTGTTGGGGGCAATAGGCTGACTCTGTAAACCGCTAAGAGCAGGGGTGTCAAACTCAAGGCCCGGGGGCCATATCCGGCCTATAGATTACTTAGATCTGGCACATAGTTGCAGGAGGCTGTGGCAGCCGAAAACAGAGTTTGGGAGCCCATTTTTGCTGGCAGAGTGCTTGGATGGCCCACAGATGCCCCCGACACGAGTGATATCGAGCTGCCACCCAACCCCCAAGGTCAAACACAACCCAGATGTGGCCCTCAATGAAATCGAGTTCATCCCTGGCTTTAGAGAGTGCTTGTCAAAGCATTGTAAAGCGGTATATAAGTCTAAATACTATTGCTACGCTATGGGACCAGAGGCATAAACATCTCCAGCAGCGCCACAAGCAAACGAAAGGTTGCCCGTCAGGAGATAGTTGTGATCCAGATTTAAAGAAGGCGAAGGAAGGAGGAAACTTAAAGCAGCAGAGCCAGGAAGAGAAACTGGGGAAAATAACAAAGGGCTGAATTATCCATTTGTTGGTTGAAGTAATAGCCCTGACATGTTTAGAGCAAAGCTGACCCAGTTATTTTAAAACGTGGGGCATGGTTTGAAGTGGCTGTTTCCCATTTTGTCATTAAAGAGTGCCAGGGGGCACTGGGGCAACTCTTATCACAACCAGGGGGATAGCTGGCTGAGAAATTCTTGAGAGTTGAAGTCCACGCCTCTTAAAAGTTGTTGAAGTTGAGAGCCAACCTCAGCATCCCTTAAACTGGGTGGACTTCAACTCCCAGAATTCCCCAGGCAAGAAACCAGCTGGGGAATTCTGGGAATTGAAGTCCACAGGTCTTAACGTTGCTAAGGTTGAAAAACACTGATTTATTAGCCTTTGCAACCCTCAAATTGTGGGGCTTTGGAGGTCCACCCATTTGAACTTTTGGGTTTTTGTTGGTCTTTTCTCAGGTCTACCTCCTCGACACGTTTGGCTTGAAGACTCTGCACGCACGTGGCGACATTGTTTTCTGTAAAATGGCCAATGTTTCTCATACGACCTGGCACTCCAACCGCACCGTCTATGACACTTGCGTTGCCAAATGGTTGACGTAGCTGGCCAAGCCTGGGAAAAGGAAGAGGAAGAGAGAGAGAGAGTCCAAAAACTCTGAGCGGTGTTCTCTGACCTCAACTTGGCATTTCTCCTCCCACAGAGGGGAAAAAAATATCATCTGCCTGTAACTTTTCTAGGAATGTATTTCTTTCTCCCCCACAGCAAAAAGAACTTTTTCCCTGCAAGACACTTTGGTAGAAGTCAGTAGCAAATTTGGGTGCTCAAAGATGCTGCGTGGAAGGCCTCAAATGAACTGGATCCTTAGTCCATTTTTTTGTGGCTAAGCTACAAGACAAACAGACAAAAAAGAAGACCCATAAATGGATTACAGTTACATGTAATGAAATATACCCCAAAGTCATATTTTCTAGTAGCCAGCCTATGGCAGAAACATGGCAACTGTGAGAATTGGAGGTATTTATCCTTTTTAGGTTTCAACTCTGGTGTTTAGTGTCATTTGATTCCCAGTTTGGAAATGTTTCAGTTGCGTAGATTATATTTTTTGTATTATAATAATGCCACAGCTACCCAGGACCGGGTTTAAAAGAGACTAGCCCAACATTTGTGAGAACAAATTCAGGGGGAAAAAATCTTACTATTTATCCCCTCGGTTAATTTGAGTTTTGTGATTCAATTATTGCTTTGGCTTTCACCAGAGGGGGAAGAAAAGTACAAGTAAATGTGTAAACTTTGATCCAGAATCCAGTTCCACGCCACTAAAGAAAACCTTCAGTGGAATGCCAGAAACCCGAATAACTCAAGAGTTCCAGTGGAAAGCGTATTTTGTGTGTGTTTCTTTACATAATCCAGCTGGAAATAGCTTAAGGATCCCTGCCTCCAGTTATACATCAAAATCAATATTATAAATTATTTGGACTTTGGAGGGCAGATTGCATTGGCGTATATTTCTTCTCTCCTTAGAAGCAAAACCTCAGGATGGCAACAGAAGGCCAATTTAGATAAAATTGTTCAGGATCTTGCTTTATTTTTTTTAAATGTGTATTTAAGAGTGACTAGCCATTTTTAAGAGACCAGAACTTTCAATAAGGCGACCTTTCTCCCTGTTTCTAGAAGCAGAAGCTGCACAGCTTTGCGTGCAAACAGTATTAAACTCTTACATTTTTATCATGTTACAGTAAGATGTTTACATGGACTCGGGTTCAACTTTTAACATTAGATCAAGTACGAAGGGGGAAATGAATTAAATTTAAGCTGAGATTCCAAGGGAGATGATATGAAATGTGTGTAAAGTATCTTTTGCCTTCCAGATGTTTCTGAACTGAAGTCCCCCACAGATTCTGGGGGCTGCTGTGTTAAAGTTTGCAGCAGAAATTCAAGTCCAGAAAACACACAGATTAAACTTCTTTTTATATAAAATAAGTAAATGTAGTTTCTTCCAACATGGACATAAGCAAAAAAAAAAAAAAAAGCAGCAGCTCAGAGGCCTCAAAACAGAACTCTAGTTTCACTTTCAGTTCTCAGCAAAGCACACAGAGCCAAACCACACCCAGGCTGTCAGCTCCCATTGGCTGGTCTGTTGCCATGCTTACTTTGTTAACCATGTCTCTGCCAGTTAATGAATATGCTCTGACATGCTGGCTGGACTGCTGGTGGTTTAGCAACATCTGGAAGGTTACAGCTGTGTACTTCATGTAGAAAGTCGTTACAAATGGACTTGGCAACCTTCTTACATTGAAGATATTCTTTGGGGGGAAGCAATAAAGAATGTGACACACACGCACAAAGTGATACAACCCTGTTACTTGAAAAGGTTGGCTTTGAAAAAGTTACTCAAAGTTTCTCCTCCGAAACTTCCCCTTTGACATATTTCCAGCTGCCTTCTTTCCTTCATAAGGACTCCCAGCCATTATGGTTTGTGAACTCTGGTTTATGGTTTAACGGTGAACTGGGGAGTCGAGCCACTAGAGTTTCTGGGCATCTGCTTTTTGGCTTTGGTATCCCCGAACTCTCTTATTTTGCTTGTTTAGGAGGAAGTGACACAATTGAGCTGCCTTCCAGTAAACAGAGCGATCCACAAATTTGATACAGGGGGAATTAGAGATTTGTCAGTCTTATCAAATTAGAAGCACTTGTGACTCTTTGACGCACTCTAGCGAGGCGGGGATAGGATCAGGTTTTCAGGAAAAAAAAAATGATTCTGAGAAAAAACTCTTGACAATCAAACAAGAGACTCACAAGGATCAGTCCCACTTTATTTTGCTTTGAATGCTAGAACAACATCTCTCCCTACAAGAGTGTGCTATTACCTCAGATGGTTTGGGCGAGGCAGGATTATTCTGAAGAGGTATTCCTCATTTTGTTGCTTTTGGCAAAAAAAAAAAAAGTTGGGGATCAGAAATACTTGTTAATTTGCTACAGGTAGCCCAGAAAACAAGCAATTGATCCAGTGGTGGGATTCGATTTTTTTTTACTACCTGTTCTGTGGGCGTGGCAGGTGAAGGATCCTGCAAAATCCCCATTCCCTTCCCACTCCACTAACCTGCTTTCCAGGTCCGTTCTCCTCTGCAGGCGCAACAAGAGAAGACCCAGCCAATCAGTTGGGACTTGGGAGGCAGAGAAGAGATGGGGGCGGGGCCAGTCAGAGGTGGTGTTTGCTGGTTCTCCGAACTACTCGACGTTTCCGCTACCGGTTCTCCAGAACTGGTCAGAACCTGCTGAACGCCACTTCTGAATTGATCCCAATCCATTTTTTCCCCCTAAGGCCGTTCCTTCCTTCATCATACATATAAACATGTAGAGAGCCAGGTTGGTTTAGTGGTTAAGGTACCATGGTAGAAACAGGAGACTGTGAATTCTAGTGCTGCCATGAAAGCCATCTGGTTGACCTTGGGCCAGTCACTCTCTCTCTCAGCCCAACCCACCTCACAGGGTTGTTGTTGTGAGGAAAATAGAAGGAAGTGTATTGTGTTTTCCACCTTGAGTTATTTCTAAAAATAATAAAAGGTGGGAAGTACTAGTAAATAAATCTGCACATTCACTCTGTGCTAAGTGTGGCAGGATACTTGGTTACTGTTGGTCTCTGGGCACTTACTGTAGAAGTATTTTTTAAAAAAATGTCAATTTTGTCAAGTCTTCAATCTGGGAAGGATAATACAGAGTATTTGTGGCTTGACCAGGTGTTCTGACCCAACCGGGTGCCCAAAGAGCAAACACAGACAAAGGCAGCAGCCCTCACCCTTTAAGGCAGGGGTGTCCAACCTTGGCAACTTTAAGACTTGTGGACTTTAACTCCCATAATTCCTCAGCC